CCAAGTGTGGATCCCTGTGGAGCTCCGTGAATATGATACTCAGCTTAAGACCTGGAGATCCAACCAATCAGATCTCTGATACTAACTTTTAATAGTTGCAACACTCAGTCATTAATCCACCAGCTAATAATCTGAGTGTCGCTTTTTATATTTGTGTGTCTGTGTGCAGGTATAACACAGAGCAGTATTCTCCATATGCGGCCCCGTCCCCTCAGGGCTCCTACCAGCCCAGCCCCAGCCCTCAGAGCTACCACCAGGTGGCGCCCTCACCTGTCGGCTACCAGAATACGCACTCACCAGCCAGCTACCACCCTACGCCGTCCCCCATGGCTTACCAGGTAGACAACGACGCTGAGCTGCTCGGGCTTTCCCTGAATATTTGTGTTTTGGGGTTTTTTTGTATATTTTTTAAGAGTTTGGATGAAGGGTGGGGAACTCCAGGCCTCAGGGCCGGTGTCCTACAGGTTTTAGATCCAACACAGCTGATTTTAAATGTTCTCCAGAGGCCTGGTAATGAACTAATCATGTGATTCAGGTGTGTTGACTCAGGGTGAGACCTAAAACCTGCAGGACATCGGCCCTCGAGGCCTGGAGTTGCCCGCTCCTGCTTTAGGACCTTCCTGTTTGTGGAGGTCTAGATTTTTCTGAAATTTGTTCTCAGTCTGCGTCACGTCATCTCCACAGGCGAGTCCCAGTCCGAGTCCCGTGGGCTACAGTCCCATGACGCCCGGAGCGCCCTCTCCTGGAGGCTACAACCCTCACACCCCGGGCTCCAACATCGAGCAGGGCGGCAGCGACTGGGTGACCACCGACATCCTGGTGCGAGTGAAGGACTCGTTCATGGACCTGATGGGGCAGACCGGGGTCATCCGCAGCGTCACGGTGAGTCTGAACACTTGACACGCAGCAGCGCTGATGGCGTCCTCGCTCCCCGCGAGTCTCTGATATTACTGAGAAATGTTTTTTGGGAGATCTGGCTGCGCTCGAGCTTAAAATGTTGTGAAATCTGTGAAAAATGTTATTCTGCAGCTCTGGCACACAACGGTCTGAGGTGTTATTAGGGACGCACAGATGTTGCTGCTTAGAGCCGCATCACTGAGAGCTTAAGAGCTCATCTGCTTCCTGCTGCTGTTGGATGGAGGCTCGCCGCATCAACAGAAACGCTCCTTTATAAACACAACAGAAAGCGTTTCCCCACAGGAGGCGTTATTCTGCTCGATATTGACACAGTCCTGACTCAGGAATGTTAATGTGGAAAGTCAGAAACATTCAAGCGTTTGACGGATTTCACCGTTTAGCACACAGACAGTTTTGGCCTTACGTGTGTGGACAGGAGCACAGACATGTGCACCTTTAGCTCCTTTGTGATGTCAGGCCGTCTGAGGCTTCTGATTGGCCGGTGTGCAGAAACCATTCGAGCTGAGTACAGCTTCGTGAGTGGCGGTGGAGATGAAACAGTTTCTTTGTTTACGTCTGAAATTGATTTTAAAGCAGCTCCTTTGAATATTTTTCATTGGTGTGTGTCTGTGTGTGCGTTTGTGTGTGTGCACGCGTGTAGGGAGGGATGTGCTCGGTGTTCATGCAGGAATCTGAGAAGGTGGTGAGCGTCAGCAGCGATCACCTGGAGCCGGTCACGCCCACCAAAAACAACAAGGTAAGAACCACAGTCGCCGTTCCTGGCGTCCAGCTGTCTGCAGATCGTTCGTTTAGAGCGTGCGTGAGGCTCAACGCTGCGTTCGCTCTGTTTCAGGTGAAGGTGATTCTCGGAGAGGACCGCGAGGCCACGGGGATCCTTCTGAGCATCGACGGAGACGACGGCATCGTGCGCATGGAGCTGGACGACCAGCTCAAGATCCTGAACCTGCGGTTCCTGGGCCGCCTCGAGCACTGAGCCTCGCAGAGCTCCCACACAAACATCTGGTTTTTATTACCTAAAGATCCAAAAACCACATCTGGCTCTGTGTGCGGTTCAGCAGATCTCTCTGTTTTTGGCATTTTTATTTCCTTCTTTTCTTATTAGTGGTCTGAATCTGCTTTTAGTGCTTTTCCTTCATGTTCTGTCTGTGACTTTGGTTTTCTTGATGCAGCAGGATGAAAATAATGTGTAACATGTTAATAAACTGATTCAGTG